TACACTTCAAGCGGTAAGAGACCGATGTGGTTTAGATTGCACGGGGAAATGCATCAAAACCACATCGGTCTCTTACCGCTTGAAGTGTATGCGTTCGCATTTCGGGATAACTTGACGACAAACTTAATGATGATGGTTCAATACAACTAACACTGAGCTCACAATCTGGCTTGTTAAGCCTTTCATATCCTCTCGTTTGTTTATCCTTCAGGCCGAAGTTTAATTAATTGTGTTAACTCTGAACAGCTTGTATTTCTCATCTGACACTCCATCTTTTAGTCTCGGTGTAGCATCTTACGTCTGGAACTCGAAATAGGATGATCTGTACATCCTAGTTACGTGAACATGGAGCCAAACCCCGGAGAGATAAAGCGCTTTTAGGTGAATAAGTAACAATCATAATCTCTTCATTGCTTTGTCCCAAATTTCCTTGGCACCTTGTTATAGTACTTCTGAGCTCCTTATTCTATTTCACATGTACAGCAGCTTCAATTTGGCGAAAAATAATCCAACAAAACTCCAGTTCTTCCTAGTGTGAGACAGAGACAACTTTACTGTGGCACCATCGGATGTCCTACGATCTGGGCTTGGGCTTTGCAAAAAGAATTAAAGTAAAACAGAAATGAAGGAAAAAGACGAACAAAACAGCTAAATATATAACTGGTTAAGTGAGTGAAAGAGATTTTTCCTTTTAGCTGACAAGTATGGGGTTGTGTTGATTAACAAGCTTGTAGATTAGATCGCAAGTGCGTCATCAAAAGCTGGAAATAGATTTACAACACGAGAGTGTATAGCGAGAACGTACTCTGGTGATAATTTGTATGCATGGGTCGCCGAGTGACCGATGGATTTCTGGTTGTCTGTATCCTGTCCTGTCTGGTTTGACTGGAGGTGCTTGTTCTACAGCTTATTCGGTTGTTCGGTTTTCATCGATCAATCTGGTGTTGCTTTTTGCCCTGTTGCCAACTGGTTCAATGTGCTCCGGTTCAGTTATCGAAGCGCTAACCTGATCACAGTGGTTAAGTCGATAGTCGGAGTTTTCCGACTGGTGTCATGCTTCAAGAAGCTTCATTTATTCCCTTATTTGGTCTTGATAGACAATTTTAAAGTTTTTCAAATGTCATTTGCATCCCGCTTGGTTCTTATGCGTTGAAAACGTCCCCCTTATGAGGGAGGGGGGGGGGCGAATCGACTCACACCTGTTTCATAGTGACTCGTTTCCTTCCATCCGGATCAATGGACTGATCGTTACAACTGTTACCACCAGCTTTCCAGATGACATTATTCTATTGTTCTTTTTTTGGATGAATAGTGAAGTTTTGTTTTCTGGTCTGTGAAAAACTCTAATCCGGCGTGCTTTCGAACTTTCTGTCAAGTCAAATTTGGAAACCTTTTCAAGCCAATACAGTCACATTTAAATGAAACAATTTCAATGCGGTCAAACAGAAAGGTGGATGAGTCATGTGCTTGGCAATGAGCCCAAGAGAATTTGTGCGCTGTTTGGATCACATAACCAAAGCCGTTACGTCATGGTCAAGTGAACAAGCGGTTTTCTCTTCCCTGGGCCAGGGGAGTTGGAGAGCTTGAGTCAATTTGCGTTGTGCGCACAGCTCAGGCTTCATGAATCGGATGCTAATCGCCTCTGCGGTTGCTAACGTTCGAAACCATATTGCTCTAGAGGGGTGTGGTGAGACTCGATAAATGATTGTAAATGCCGAGGGCATGTCAACCATGTGTCCCGTCTCTGTCAGATGAGCAACGATCGAGCTTGACACAGCTCCACTCCCACCCTGGTGAGCCACCGCGGATTGTGTTGTTTGATCCGTTGAGATAACTATCTTGTCGTTCGACCTACACAAGTCGCACCACAGGTGTACTTGAATCGGTATAAAATCATAGATGAGGTCAACATAAACAGTTTGTTGTTGTAGCATTGGATGTTTGTTGACGTAGAGAACACACATCTTAGCTGAGCGGCATCGTATGTAGATTTGATTGCTGAGGATAAAACTCTACTGACCCTCTCCGTCACGACATCATCTTAATCAGTGGGCATATTCCGTGATTTGAAACCCTTCAGGAATCGTCTCACGTATAAATGGTTTCAGTGTGACACACAAACAGCAGGAGGGGGGAGGTGAGAGAACAAAACACTGTTAGAAACGATGAAAGGAAAAAACTTACAGGATGTTGTAAAATGCGTACTGAGAGGTTAGTCAAGATTCGCATTAAAAAGTGGGTTGTACTGTGATAAGTAGATCGCTTGCAGGAAGAGATCAGAATTGAACCATGGCGCGCGAAGTAAAGACAGCTTCCAGGATTTCATTTAACACGCAGTGGTTTGGCATTAGACAATAGGCATTTGATGTGCTGCCTTCGTAAGGTTCGTCTGTCGCTGTGTTCGGTTTATTGCAAATCGAACAGAGTTCAACGTATAGACGCTGCGGAGAAATACTTAAAGTGGGTATCATTTTTCTTGATTGGTCTCTGCTTACTGCAATATTATGAATCTACGCGGTGGAATAGAGTTTTACTCAGTTCCAATTTGAACAAATATTAAGCATGCATTTTTATGCGACGGTTTTGGCTGCTGTCTTCTGGCTGCCCATTTGGATGAAGGGGTAAAAGGAAAGTTGAAAGTAGTACTAGTAGAAAATGGAGAACATCGGTATGCTTAGGTTGCAGGGAAACTGAGAAAATGATCAAACGCCACATTTTACTACAATCAGCCATATCAGTGAGTGCCTCTAACCGTTGATTACAATGACCCTGAGGTCTGCATTCTAACGCCTAACGCGGCCTATATGATCAATTTTCCCGGTTAGGGTTTTCATACATTCATGCCAAGTCGGAGCTGAAACCAGCGTAATCGATGGAGACCAACCACTTGTTCCAGTGGGCGACCGCGGTTACTTAAAACTCTGCGCCTGACGTCAGCATTGCTTGTCCGGTCGCCCCACCAGATTCATGCAGATCCACGTAGACAGCGATGTTGGAACACTGACAGTCTATCTTTAACCCGTTTCCTCAATGACGAAGTTTCTGTGCCGTATAGCAGAACTGGCTGAACTGCTGGGACGTACACTCGACCCTTCACAGACAGCCGGATGTCACAACGGACGTTACTTTTATTGTCGAAATATCAACAAATTGGAGCTTATCAGTCCGATTCGTCTCCAAGTTGAGCTTAATACCCGCGAAGCTATTGGTAATCGTATTAGAAGTCCTATCTACTTTAGATCATTCCAGGATGACCAGGGTATCACAGTTACCTTAAGGATGCGTCTGCCATAAACGTATGATCGATCAACGTCGGATAACCAATTTTAATCCTTACCATTAGGCTACGCGTGGTGGTAGCAGTGATGCTTTTCACTGTATGACTATATAATCGTACATTTTTCTAACTGAAATGTAAACATATAAGCTTTTATAAATTATACAAACACAAATATATCACCCAACTGCCTTTGCCAGTCTTCTACAGTGTCAGAAAGCAACAAACTTGTGGAAAACCACACCTCATTAGAATATGAGCGCAGAGTCAAGTTCACGCCGGTTTTCGAAAAATTACTTCACAATTTGAAGGCAATAAACCACGTCTCTCATGATTTCAATTTGATCTTTGAAACATTATACCATTTGTGTTTGATCACCGAGGTCAATACAATGTCAGGGAAGTATTTAGGTAGGCATCTCTTCTACCAATGAAGATGCCCGGGTTTCTGTTCCGCCTACAAGCCACTATTCTATCTTTCTAATGGACTTTGAATACACCCCAATCAAATCACGACTCACCCGTACGACTGCAACATAAAATTTTCAAACAAATTTTCATGTATTAGCTAACAACTTGCAAGCAGTCAGTCATATGGTGAAATGTTACTCATTTTGAGAGCAGGAGAGTTGACGACAACCGAAATACACAGGATCGCGAGTTTAGGTTTTGTTGAATCCTGCAACACCAAGTTGACTAAAGTTTACCTTGTGTGGTGTAGAATAGCTTCGGTTTTTCTTGCAATCTAGATAGGCTGGGAGATTTTGATAATGGCTTCTGTATGAGCGACTGAACATAGCATCTTATAACAACAACAACAACAACAACTACTACTACTACTACTACTATTATTAGTTGGCCGGAGGGAAAATAAATCTTCATGTCACTTATTCGAGGTTTGACCCTGGGTAAAAAAGGGTTGGATTCAATAAAGCTGAGCAATAGCAGTGGCATCCAATATATGCGGATGTGACATAAAATACATGGACCAGATTCTTCTTCCTATTGAGCAATAAATAACATTCGTTTTTTGAAATATCCTAACCGTTTAAAACCCAGAAATCACTAAAAGACTTCCATACAATCGTACGGTTTTTTCATCAAATCTGCATATATTTGACTCGAAGTGGTAAATAATAGAAGTTCATTGTTCGCGCTCAGATAAAGATGGTGAATTCAGGTGGACTAAAACAGAAATTATATTGATCGGTTTCAAAAAGGTTCATCATCATCATCCTACAGCGAGATACAGTGAAGCGAGCTTTACTGATCGCTGCCAAGCTCACGGTGTACACAAATCGAGTGATAAAGCACAAGATGGAGAGGGATTAAGCATAATTGAGAGAGGCAAGGAAAGTGAATCTCTGGGGTCAACACACAGAGTACGCAACCGAACTGTGCATACATACCTTTTAAAGCATTCTGATTTGATAAGAAATGAAAACAAGAATGCCATTGCTGTCGGTTAGTCACCAAATCCTTCCAGTATCTCCAACTAGTCAGTTGTAGAGACTTTTGAACCCCAACCTGGAAGATGGGAGGTACCTA